TGTATTTTTATTATGTTAATAAGTTAAAAAATATAATTTCTCTATATGTTTATAAATTATTGAAACTGAATATGTCATTGGGATTTTCAACAAATATTTCAAATATCTTCGAATGAAATCTACAAGAAATTTTAAAAAATCTGTCGCTTGAGATATTTAGCAAAGATTACAAAGAAATATTTAGAAATTATTCTATGCTACTAGGGTTATAAGAATGCGCAGCATTTGATATAATGTAAATTTTATGCGTCTCAAGCCTTCCTTACAACCTCCATATTCACATTGTAAAAGGTAAAATGATTCGATACACCCAGTTCGGAGAAAAGTTCCATAAACGAGACGTCTTTGACGCTACTTTCCCATCACCTTAATTTAAATTTAGTATCGATAATAGGAAATAAATGCCATAGTGGGAGATTCCAGATAGATAACGGTTCCAAGTCGTTCTCTTTTCGAGGAGATGTGCCCAGATAGACAAAGTGATGCAAAATTTTCATCAAATTTGCCTGATAAAAGAGGACGAAACGAGTCATGAAGGTGTTGCATATGACTCCTCATTTGGAGCTCATATCTGCAGTACAGAATGTGAGCCAAAAATATTTAAATATGAAACAAAGTTAATTACATACAATATCTCAATGTTTGTCCGCACATGTGCGACTAAATTTATCTCACGCATTGCCGATAAACAATTTCAGATTCCGTAGCCTCATATATGAGTCATGGCGTGACAAATTTACCGCAAATATTTGTTCAAATTAATTGTATAATATGCGTAGCTACATATAATGCCGGCATTTCATGCAGTAAATGGTCTGAAAATTGTTTGTAAATGAATTTCCCTTATCATATGATTATCAGGAATTTCTATGTGGGTGAGGTTATGTGCGAGGCATCCGCGGGTCGCGGGTCACGTGACCCACGCCAAGCCACGCGGTGCGGCGTCGACCGGCTGGGCTTTTCCCGGCGGCCGGACCAGATGGGCACCCCCGCCATGGGCCCGGTCGGGCCGCAAAGCCCGGCAGACCGGTAGGCGCCCTTTCTCGAGAGGGACCGTTGTCCACTCGAGAGCGACACGCTCACCCCAGGTGCTAATTGCCTTGCTGGTGGCCCGTTTGAGTACCTTTACAACCCTCCGCCCCTAGACCGCGGGCCCGGAACCCCCCGAGGACACGCGAACTGGCCGGAATCGCTAATCCCTTTTACGACTACCAGTCGTCCCCGCTTTTACGACCGCCCCCAGGTACCCGAGCCTCGTCGATCATCGATCCGGGAGAGAATACCTCGTCCTTATCAATCGATTGGATCGACCCGTTCTTAACACATTGTCGGCCGCTATCACGTACGCGTGACTTTTTTTTTTCCATGTGAGCGTAATACGCACCGGCGTCCACCTGAAGCGATGCGGAAAATGTGCGGACGTCAAAGTGTTAATATGGAATCGTTCGACCTGAAAATATAACGATTTCTCCGAAAGATTGAAAGGAAATGATCGAGGAATATAAAATGGTTTTTCGCAGGCGAAATAATCGCGAAATAATCAACTGATCATTATTACGGGAACAGTAACTACGAGTTGTTACTCGTTGATGTGAAACTTTTTATGGGATGGCTGTAGGGGTAAGTTCATATGCCATGAAAGTAAATCGACTTGCGAAGTGAAACGTTTTTTTACAAGTCATTGCCGCGATTGACAGATTGACAATTCAAAAATTTTGCACATGCGCACCCGTTACTTATTTAGTTAAGCTAATATGTAATTGGCGCTAGTGTGCCTTGAATTCGTCGAAGTCCTCTCCGTACAGAATAAATACGCATCAGCTATCCAGGTAGTATATAGATCAGTGCGCGATTGATAGATTGACAATTCAAAACTTTTGCACATGCGCACCCGTTACTTTTTTAGTATCGCTGCTAATATGAAATTGGCGCTAGTGTGCCTTAAATTCGTCGAAGCCTCTCCATATAGAATAAATACGCATCAGCTATCCAGGTAGTATATAGATCAATGCGCGATTGACAGATTGGCAATTCAAAACTTTTGCACATGTGCACCCGTTACTTATTTAGTATCGCTACCAATATGTAGAAGGCGCTAGTGTGCCTTGAATTTGTCGAAGCCTCTCCATATAGAACAAATACGCTTCAGCTATCCAGGTAGTATATAGATCAATGCGCGATTGACAGATTGGCAATTCAAAACTTTTGCACATGCGCACCCATTACTTTTTTAGTATCGCTGCTAATATGAAATTGGCGCTAGTGTGCCTTGAATTTGTCGAAGCCTCTCCATATAGAACAAATATGTATCAGCTATCCAGGTAGTATATAGATCAGGATGCGACCGCAAGGGCCGTTTGTTTCGTGTGCCTGTGTATGTCATAATCGCGGTAATACTTTCCTCGGCAATGCGCAGGCGCGAGACGGCCAGCGTCGCGTCGCGCATCGTCGGACGATATTAACGCGCGTTTAATCGGGCGTGCTTTGCGCTCTTAATCGCGGCCAAGTGACGGTCCGTCGGTCAAGTCGCTGAAAGAAGCTCCACCCTCAAGGAAATTCCTTTCCCGAATTTCACGCATCGCCCTCGAAGCAACTATCTTGCCCGTAAATCTTGATTCGCTTCCAAACTCCTTTCCACGAATTCCGTACATCTTAACGAGAGACTTAATCAAAAGGTATTAAATCAAGGAGGTGCAAAATGTTCTACTTATAAAATAGGAAAATATGATATTTGCCATAAACTGGTAATGAAAACGATACGTGTTGCTGATTGCATTCCGGAAAGTATAACTGTATATAAAATCGCTCATGGTATTTCTAGGTCTAATGTCGTCGATTTAAAAATCGGTTTTTAAAGGTGTAGCCTTGGGAATTGTTTTAAATGTAATGTGCTTTTTAAATTTCAGATGTCTTGTAATCGGACAGAATGATTGATAACATGAAACGAAAAATGGGACGGTGATAAATGATACTCGTGTTGATTTTTTCATATTATCTGAGATCCGCAATGAATTGTTATACGATGTTCTTTATTTGATGCGTTTTTTCAGAAACTTGGTTTTACTTTTATCTTGATCATGTCTATGGCGAAGATTGTAAAGATTATTAAGGGAATGTGAAAGCGGCATCCAAGAGCTCAATTGTTCATAAAACTTTTCTACGAACTGGGTGTCTTAAATCGTTTCATACTTTAAATCGTGAATATGGAGACCCTAAGGTAGGTCCTGAAACTCGCGAAATTTCATTTTTTATAAACTATTTTTAAAATACCTATAAGCAAATTTGAAAAGAATTGAAATTTCATGAGTTTCAAGACCTTCCTTATAGTCTCCCTATTCATGTTGTAAAGTTTCAAACTATTTGGTAAATCGAATTGGGAGAAAAGTTTTATAAACAAAACCTCATCGACGCCACTTTCACATCACCTTAAGGGGATGTGAAAGCGACATCCGAAAGCTCAATTGTTCATAAAACTTTTCTACGAACTGGGTGTCTCCAATCGTTTCATACTTTAAAACGTGAATATGAAGACCCTAAGATAGGTCCTAAAACTCGTGAAATTTCATTTTTTAAAACTATTTTTAAAATACCTTTAAACAAATTTGAAAAGAATTGAAATTTCATGAGTTTCAGGACCTTCCTTCTAGTCTCCCTATTCATGTTGTAAAGTTTCAAACTATTTGGTAAATCGAATTGGGAGAAAAGTTTTATAATAAAACCTCTTCGACGCCACTTTCACATCACCTTAAGATACGCATTTTATGAAAAATCGTTCGAGTCCGATCGTTCCGAATCGGTCGCCGACGCGAGATTCGAAGCGAAGACTCCCCTCGAGAAAGGCGCGACGATTTCGACCGCTTTTTACAAGTTCTACCGCTGGTGGGATATTTTTAACTCGTCCTCGGGTCCCTCTCGGTGCAGATTTCTCGCGGAAGATACTTTGCTCCGATCGCGCCTACGCCAACGGCAGAATTCGTCCTTCTCGCTGTCCCGTTGTGAAATAAGCGCCTCTTCAAGTAGATCACTGATAAAAATGTCAACATCGATAATGCATTCCATACCAATCAAAGGCATTCCTTCGGAAAATTTACTGCTCAATCGGCAAGCTGGAACTTCTCCAGAGAGAAAGTGAAAATAAATGCAAATTCTCGAAGCAGGCTCGAAAAGAAATGATCCTGAAATATAAGAATTGCGTCATTCACGATTACAAGGTTACTCGCGATGAAAAAAAAAAAATGGCGACAAAACTCTGCAGTAATCACCCTTAATTGCCTTTTCTTGTCACTTGAAGGTGCAAGCATTACATTCTGAGGATGGGTCTCGCAACATGGAATTACAAGATCATCTGAAACCGGTACATGCAGGAGAATATATTGTTTCAGCGTTTGCGCTCATTTAGCACTGTCGATATTATATTCTCCGAGACCGCGATCACGCACGAGTCATTCATCGGTTTCCCACCCGGCGATCGAGAAGAGTTAATATCGGGGACCGAATCGCCTTTACGTCATCTATTCCTTCGGTTAGTCCAGGGTCGGCGCGAGAGAAAGGAGGCTGCCGTGGCCCGATAAAAAAGTAAGAGGGGAGGTCCCGTCGGCGTCGGGCGATCCGGGTGGTGGCGTCGGTATAAATATGCAAGATGGGGGTCGCCCCCAGCGTCCGCGTTCGGGGGGGCTCGGGAACGATCGGGCGCTCTCGGCGAGCTACCCCGATCCCGCGATCTTCGCGATCCGCCGGTGGGGGTGGCCAGCGTCGGCGGGATAAAAGCGCGGGCGGGGAGGGGGTAAGGGCGGAGCCAGTCGCGGCGCGCGGCGGCCGAGGGCGCCGGCTGGGTCGTTCCAGGAGCGCGCTCGGCCCGCCAGACGCATCTCGCCACTCGGCCAGTCACGAGTCAGTACGCGTGCGCGCGCGCGAGACCGCCCGACTCCCGCCTCCAGGACACGGCAGCGCATCGAGGAGACGCGATCGGACCAGCGCGGGACGCACCGACCACCCACAGGATGCAAGCGCAACAGCCGGTGGCCTACCAACCGCAGAGGGTGCACGAGGTGTATCGGGCCGCGAGTCTGGGCCTGGGCCTGGGCGTCGGCGACAGTTCGGGCATCCCGCACAGCGCCGGCAGCTCGGCCAGCAACTCGCCGGACCGTTACGAGCACTTCTCCTCGCCGCCGCCCACGCCGGCGACCACCGAGCCGGAGTTCGCCGACCGCGAGGGCAGTCCAGGTGCGGCCGGCTTCCACCCGCGGCGCCACCTGCATTTGCCCCTCCACCCGCATCACCATCACAACGCGACCGAGTACCAGGCGACGGCGACGTACGCGACGTACGAGTCCCTCGATGAAGAGGACGCGCGGTACCGGGCGACCCTCCAGGCGGCGCGGCCGCGCGCCCGGGACCGCCACGCCGGCTTCGACGCGGAGCCCTGCTCCGGGGAGGAGCTCCTCTTCGCGGAGCGCGCTCGTTTCCTCGCCTCGCCCCGCTGTCGCGAGCCCGTCGACGATCTCTACCCTGTCGTCGGCGAGCCGCTCTACGAGTTCAAGTCCGAGCCCATCGACTTCCCGACCGTGGAGACGCCGCGGCGCCACCCCGCCGGAGTCGCCCCCCTGCCCGCCGCCCCTGCCCCAGGCTCCGCTAAGCGCAAGAGGAAGGCCAGCCTCGATGGACTCAACGGGCCCGACGTCGACGCTGGCTCCAGGGTCAAGTTACGCCGCAAGAGCGGCGCCACCTACGAGGAAATCCAGAACCAGAGGGTCATGGCGAACGTGCGCGAGCGACAGCGCACCCAGAGCCTCAACGAGGCCTTTGCCGCTCTCAGGAAGATCATTCCCACCCTGCCCTCCGATAAACTCAGCAAGATCCAGACCCTCAAGCTCGCCACCAGGTACATCGACTTCCTCTACAGGGTGCTCCACTGCAACGCCGAAACCGAGGACGGCCTCGAGGACAACCAAGGTATGTAGGTACGCCGCCGTCAATGATGTGTTTATTCATTTAACCTCGACCGTTAGGATGCGACGGGCCTTACCAGGAAACTCGGGAGCGTTGAGAGTCGATGCAACGAACGTTTCTTCATTTTATTTACGAAATTGCGAGATCAAGAAGGAACTCGGATATAAAGTTGATACTCTTTTCGCTTATCATTGGAAATGTTAGAAGAATAGCCGTGAATTCGGGGGAGAGGAGTTTCCTTGTAACGGAAGTTGAAACTGATGGCGCAGATAACCATTTGGTACGCGAGAGATGAACCTTCGGGGTTTACTTTGAGGGAGCTTTATGGAAATCTTTAGTTCATGTTTATATCCGGAGAAATGCTCATTTGGTTTATATAAGTATTTTATCGTTATATCAAACCAATGAGCACTGTTTGTTTAACTACAATTTTTTTTTTAATTTCTGCAATATCATTTAGATATTTAACGTGAATTCGTCTCCGAGAACACAAATGGTTGTCGCGTTGTTCAGCTTTCGGATGTACTTGGAAGAGTCCTCGCGCTGAAAACGGTCGAGTGAAAGTGATACATAAATACTGCTGTTTGGATCGCGAGATAGAATAGTAAAAAAGTTTCCTTTTCCTCAACAGGTGAGAGGAGTCCGAGGAGTGCAGTGTTAGCGGCGAGGGAGATCACCTCCTCCTCGTGCAGCTACATGGCGCACGAGAAGCTCTCCTATGCGTTCAGCGTCTGGAGGATGGAAGGCGACTGGAGCTCGAATCTCTGAGTCCTTCGAACAAGGACCCTTGCAAGGGATAGACTCGAAGAGAAGCTGAGCTCCCAAACTCTCAGGGACGCGGTTAGACCTGTTCTCCTCTTCCTTTCGCCGGCTCGAAGGATCTGAAATCAACGACGAGGCTTCTTCGGACAGAAGACACGCATCGAGAGTCCGTTGCTCGGACTATTCCTGGAGAGAACGATGGATTCCGATTTAAGGTATCTTAGGGTTGAATACAATCTAAGAAGCGTTCGAAAGGCATTAACGACGCACGGGACGCGTTTAGGTCCAACTTGGTAAATTAGGCACTTCGTTTTGCTAGCACATGAAGATATCTTTAGTTCTACCCGGTTTCTAATCACCTGCGCGGACTTACATCCACGCGAGATGCACGCTTTCAATTCGAAACTCATGATGTTATCGGACTGCGATCTTCTGCCCGAACAAAGGGTTCTTTACGGATAAAGGAAACGTTCTCGGCGCCCACGTGAATCCAGCATCCGCGTTACAGGATGGCCGTTTGTATACGTACCGGCTAAACCGACACCGGCTCCGACTTTTCTGCCGAAAAAAAAAATGTAATTTTCATTTATTTACGTTATTATCATTGAACAACCCGGTGTCGGCACCGGTTTTGCCGGGCAGGGGAAACGGCGTAATTGTTCGCGGTACAGGCGCGAATGTAGGATATAAGTCCGATACGCGTACATTGAGAAATGAGAGTGGCGCATAGTACCACTACAATGGTAAAATTGTCAGTTCCTTCAAGGGATGTAATATACAATTCTAGAAAGAAAATACAATTTGTAAAGTTAATCTTTCTTCCCGTAGCCGTATGTCATATTACTTGTAGGAACTGACGTCTATTTTACCACTGTAATGGCAATGTATCCCACTCTTTTTTTTTTTCTTAACGATATCTCGCGTTAACGATGCCCCAACGGTGGACATACAAATTCGTCAAATTGTCGACGTAGACCATTTAAATTTTCTGGAATTTAATTAGCCAGTTTCGTGTGCCATGCTTATGGGGTTTCGTTATGCGAGATACGCGCAAAGGCATATATGGACCCCGCACACCGGTCTGATCATTTAAATTTTCTGGGATTTAATTGGCCAGTTTCGTGTGCCATGCTTATGGGGTTTCGTTATGCGAGATACGCGCAAAGGCATATATGGACCCCGCACACCGGTCTGATCGGGAAGGCAGCCATATTGAGACAAAAAGAGACGCTCGCTTTCTTTTCTTTCGTTCTCGCCGTGGTTACAAGAATATTAATGTATTAATTGGATATTCGGGGTCCATATCCCACGACGATAAACGCGACCGAGGAGCTATTCACCTGGAAATCGGTTAAAACGAGAGAACCGATTGCCATTGATTTCACACGAGAAACAACAATGCGAATCGGTAACAAGGGACGTTTGGTCTTAAGGTGAAGTGAAACACGTTGAGAAACTTGATCGACATCCTAAAATTGTCCCGACCCTTTGGATTCTCAAATCAAATCGATAATTGCATATTGATCGAAATATAAGAGCTCGACGCCACTTAGATTCTGGTCTGGGCTGAGTTAAAAATTTTTTCCAAAAATCCAAATTTTCAATGTGTCAGGACAATTCTTAGACGATCAGGAGTGACGTGTCAAAGTTTCGGACAGTTTGGTCTAATACCCTTTAAAAAAAGTGTTGTATTCGAATCGACTGATTTGAAGGGGGTTACACTTCACCTTAAAGCATCGACAGTATTTCGATGATGTCCAACGATTTTCAGTGATATTCTCTTGGGAATTTCTAGCTGATTTCCACGTGAAAGCAATAATTGAAATCCACGATTTCCTGAATACCCCCCTTCAATCGCGACGCAACGATTCCCCGTATCGGGGCGATTTTTCTCCCCTCTCGGGGGGGGGGGTGTGGGCGTACTTTTGCACCCGGGCCGCGTACTCGTCGACTCCTCGTGGTTTTCTCTCGTTTCCTTTGTGGCGGGCGAAAGGCGCTGCTCTCGGAACCCGGTCCCCCGGCTCGTCTCGGGGATCGGTCGATGTTCGGAGTCGACGGACCGTGGAAACGAGAGGCCGGGTACCGCGGGCCAATTTACGTTTCCTCGGGGTAGGCGCGTAAATCCGCTTATTAGCGGCCTGTCCGTCGGCGACGGACGGCCTTTAGGCCGGCGCGCGCTCTCTCTCTCTCTCTCTTCTCTCCCTCCTGGATACGTAAATACCGATCGCATTAAATTTAGCCCGGTCGAGGGTACCCGCCGGTACACCGGTACCGACATCGCCGTATTACCCCTGGCCACCCTCCGGCCCGACTCCGCTGCTGCCCCTCGTTGCGCCCGATTTATGTCCGGATTTATATCGCTCCCTGTTCGAAGCTCCGAGGCGGCTTCGTCGAGCTGCCTAAGCGCGTTAGAAGCTTGCGGCAGAGTTGCGGCCGAGTTGTTGCGGCCCCTTAACCGTGATGTATGCGGCTACCTTACACGCGGGACCGCGAAAATTACCGCTCGCCCTGGGCTTTCTCGAGACTGTGATTGCGGAATTGCGATCCTGCGTGGTTTTCCTTTTATACCGCTTTAGAGCCTCTAGTCGGGGCAACGGGGTCGGTTCGGACATGGCTGTTCCGTATTCGTGCACGTTCGTACAGAGTATTCGTACACGTACGTTCCGTGTTCGTGCACGTTCGTACAGAGTATTCGTGCACGTACGTTCCGTGTTCGTGCACGTTCGTACAGAGTATTCGTGCACGTACGTTCCGTGTTCGTGCACGTTCGTACAGAGTATTCGTGCACGTCCGTTCCGTGTTCGTGCACGTTCGTACAGAGTATTCGTGCACGTCTGTTCCGTGTTCGTGCACGTTCGTACAGAGTATTCGCGCATCTTCGAGTATTCATGATTTCCGTGATACCGTGGTCATCAGTTCGGTACGGGTTCGGACATCGAGGTAATAAGAGTGTGAAATTCTTCCGAGTTTCTGCTGAAACATGTCGGGATCACGTTCGGGCGTTTCAAGATCGGCATCGTGCCGTTTGGTCTGTTTGGTTAAAACATTGCCACGGATCGACGGATAGGGATAAGAAAGCGTATAAAGGCTCCGGTTTAAGGTGATGTGAAAGTGGCGTCGAAGAGGTTTTGTTTATGAAACCTTTCTCCCAACTCGGTTTACCGAATAGTTTGAAACTACAACCTGGATAGGAAGACTATAAAGAAGGTCCTGAAACTCATGAAATTTCAATTCTTTTCTAATTTGTTTATAGGTATTTTCAAAATAGTTTGTAAAAAATGAAATTTCGCGAGTTTCAGGACCTACCTTAGGGTCTCCATATTCACGATTCAAAGTATGAAACGATTTGAGACACCCAGTTGGTAGAAATGTTTTATGAACGATTGAGCTTTCGGATGCTATGTCGGATGCTGGCGTCGAAGAGGTTTTGTTTATAAAACTTTTCTCCCAATTTGCTTTACCAAATAGTTTGAAACTTTACAACGTGAATAGGGAGACTAGAAGGAAGGTCCTGAAACTCATGAAATTTCAATTCTCCTCTAATTTGTTTATAGGTATTTTAAAAATAGTTTGTAAAAAATGAAATTTCGCGAGTTTCAGGACCTACCTTAGGGTCTCCATATTCACGATTTAAAGTATGAAACGGTTTGAGACACCCAGTTCGTAGAAAAGTTTTATGAACAATTGAGCTTTCGGATGCCACTTTCACATCCCCTTAAATCTAAGATCTCGATTTTCCATCGGGTGCATGGACACATACGACACGGATACGATACAGAGATCTTTGAATCGACCCTTAATTGTAATGCATCGAGAATTGCTATTCACGTCGCGGGGTGGTCTCACCAAACAGTGGATTTGAGATTATGATCCTGCAGGCACATTTCTTTTTTATCATTTAAGCTTCGAATTGAAAGCTGCGTCTACGTGCGATTAGGTGCTGTGGTTATTTTTGTGAACGTTTAAACATGTTTTTTTTTTTCTTTTAGAGGCACTCTTGTTCCATTTTTTGCGGTTTAATTGTTAGATCGGATCGAATTGTTGGGTTGTTGTAACTTGGTGGGAAAATCCACGGGCCACTTTTCTTTCTGGCATTTTTTTTTTTTCGTGTCAACCCTAATAGCGCGATAGTGCTCGAAGTTAGATACCAAGATGGCGGCGTTCTCCGGAAGGGCGCCACGCCGTAACAACGCGCGAGTATCTACGATTCGTGAGAGACACGGACCATTCCGCCTGTAAGAATAGAAATTAGCGCGCGAAGTGGAGGATTCCGACAAGAGTGACATTGCGCGTATATCAAGATGGTAAGGATCCTGTAATTACAGGGAAGCTCGGCTCTTGCGGCCTCCCAAGACTCGCCGTGACAAAGTGAGCACAATGAAGGGGTTAGTAGGCTGTGAAATCCGTTTTAATCAAAGTGAGTTAAATAGAAATGAAAATGTAGAGGTAATATTCGCTTACGTGGCTACTTTATTTTCCTTTTTAAGGAAAGGTTAAGATAAAAGGAGTTTTTAATATATTTCAAAATGGCGGACTCGCAGACGCGGGAAATCTCTGATTCCTTTTCGCGGTGTAATTGACGCCAGAGGAACGACAAGTCTGAGACAAAAAGTTAAAGTTTTGGAGACTGGGAAAGATTATTGAAGATCGGCGGCATGGATTTTTTATGAAAATTTTTGTTCAAGAGATACCAACAATGTTGCAAGAAGGAATAAAAAAAAGTGAATTGTATTTTGATTTTTTTTTTTTTAAGAGAAACTGAATTTATTTTTAATCGCCTTGGGGTCTTAAATAATCTTTCTTAGTTTCTGAAACCGCCTCAAGTTTTTGTTTCTAACTTGCCGTTTTCCCGACAGCGTGTACATCGTGAAAAAGAAATCGGATATTTCCAACCTCCACAAGTCCGCCATTTTGAAGTATTCTAAAGCCGTCTTAAATCCTCCTTAAAACATCAGTAAAAACAAACATTGTAAGGATAAATTTCCCCCACATTTTCATTCTCTTTTAAGCTCACTTTGATTGAAAGGCATTCCGCAAACTACTTACTAGCATTACGCATTACGCGCGGTTCGTTATTCGCGCTTCGTGGTGCGTCACGATTCGTACAAATTTCTTGTATCGATGAATAGTATTATTAACTTTTTCGGAATGGACGACGAATATCTGACAATCTACTCGTCGACATTGATAATCCATCTCCGCTTATGAATAATAAAGATTCCTTTGAATACGTCGAGTTTCCCGCC